GGGGGGGGGGGGGGTTGTGGCGGTGTAAAATCAGCGGGTTCCTATCGTAGAAGCACATGTTAACGTATATTATAAATGTAATAACGTTTATACGCTATTGCGGCTATGAAAACTGGTATACGTTGAAACGCAATTGTAGATAATTGTATCTGTATAATAATCAAATAATCTAATTAAAGGTATATTGAATTTACAGAAAACAAACAAACAAATAATCTAATTGGGATATTGGGAACTACAATTGTATACTACAGAGGCCTGAGACCCTATTGATATTGATATGATGGTTTTTCTACACTGAAGTGTTTTCCATCAGAATATTGGGATACAACACTGAGTGAGTCTCAGGTGATATTGACACTTGAAACATGTTGTAGTACCAAATGCACTCAGCGCGAGGTAGCCTGTGGTACCCGACGCCTTTGTGTGGAAGCGAGTGAGTCTTGCGACCACCGAGCTGTCTTACTGCCATCGTATGCGAGCCCTTGTCGTGCCTCACTGCCTCTAACAGTCCCAGAGTAATGAGGACAGCGAGCGTCGGATCGTACCACACTGTTGGCTGCATGCGCCGCGACAGATGCACCAACCGTCCATAATCATCGCGGTGGAACCATTTGTAACGTCTTTCATAAACACTGCTACAACAGCCAAGTACCTGCTTATAAGTTCTCCGAAGGAGCTTCCCACACCATCCACACATCTTCGTTGACACATGCCTCGACCCATGTTGACGACGACGACGACGATCTAACGAGACTCCCCTCAATCGCACCGTCTCCGACCCGACCGCTGTTGCCGTCAACACTAACACTACTGACGACCTCCTACCTCCTGCGCGACCTCTGCCCAACGCTGCCAACCTTAAGCTCACACTCGGCGCACAACCAGCACCCGCAAATTTCAAAGCCCTCCAGAAAAAAAAAAGAAAAAAAGGAAAAAAAAGTAGGAGGAATGTGTCAAATAGGTGACACAAAAACACTACAAGAGCAAGAGAATCAGAAAAGAGATAAATAAATACATATTTAGAGTAAATATCTGACTATCCGTCGTGATGAACTGATTTTTTGATGACATATTTATAACATGTATTTACACAATTTATGATGTGCTGGATATACATAGTAGTGCCTTGTGGATAACAGACATTACGGTAGTATGCATGCACGTATGTTGTGCATACGAGCGCTGGATAAGGACTTACTGTAGTGTCGTACCGTGCAAAGATGAATTAGACAATCGTTCAGATAAAAAAATCCACAAGCACACCACACATAGTAGCGTACAAAGTTAGAAATTAATTCGTATCCGGGAATCATCATTCTTGCGCCATGAATTCACAAGAGCGAGCCCTGCTAGCTGCAGCCAGGGCTGAACGAGCTGCCTCTGCGAAGACACGGTTCACCAAATTAAATACGTCGCATAAAAATTTACAGCCAACGCCCAGTGTGTCTACTGAGAATGCATCTAATACCGAACAGATGGATGGCAAGAGGTTGCCGAGTGTCGTTGCTAATAGTAGTGCTACTAAGAATGCGAACAAGCTGAGGAGAAACGAAACAGTCAGTGCGCAACCGTCCGAGTTCATTGCTGATAATATCCTCACTCTGGTATGCTGTGTTGGGACGATGCTTCATTTGGTGATTATATCTGGTGTGGTTTGTGATGCGATTGTTGTGTGTAAACTGCATGCTTTCATTTACCAATAAATTCGATGTGGTATACTTGCCAGTGTTTATATCGAGAAAACTGTGACGAATTGAGTACATGTAATAGATTGCTCCTTCTGAGGGATGATACCTGAAAGAACAGTGATCGTTCGCGGATAAGTAGAGCGATATACAAGTGCACACAGCCACAAAACATATTATATATCTCTCGGTTTCTCCGATAGAGTCCAATTAATGGTGAATAGGCTGTTTTGCATACTTTCATATGCTCAGTAAAGCATAGCTATGCTACATTACATGTGCACAAACAGTTGCACATATATTGTTAACGAAGATACAAGTGTCTAATCCACTCGTTCTCTTCTTGTAAACAAGTTGTACCCTCGCTCATGTACAGAGTGATCGAATATATTTGAACACTCAGTATTACACACACACACACATGCACATACATACATACACACACACACACACACACACACACACACACACACACACACACACACACACACAC